CAGAAAAAGCTTTTGACAAAGTTTAGTACCCATTCACGATAAAAAAAAAAACCCTACAGAAAATTGGAATAGATAGTCTTTTTATCTCAATCCGATAAACGCCATCTATGACAAGCCAAAGGGCAACATCATACTAAATGGACAAAAACTGAAAGCTTTCACGTAAAATCAGGAACAAGAAAAGGATGTCTACTTTCAATACTTTTATTCGCCTGGCAAGCCCGAGGTCATGAGTTCAATTCCCGGTACCAAAAAAACACCAAAAAAAAAAAAAATGCTCTTATTCAACATAGTTCTGGAAACTTTAGCCAGAGCAAGTAGATAAGAGAAAGAAATAAAAGGAATAAGGACAGAAAAAGAAGTTAAATTATCATATATTCATGGATCACATGATATCCTACATAGATAACCTCAAAAAACTCACCAAAAGACTTCTAGATTTAATAAGAAAATTCAGTAGCATGGCTGGATACAAAGTCAACACTCAAAAATCAATAGCTTTCCTGTATACCAATAACAAACTCACTGAGAGAGAAATTAGGGAAACAACACCTTTCACAACAGAATTCAGAAAAATGAAATACCTACGGATCAAGCTAATGAAGGATATAAAAGACCTCCACATTGAAAACTACAGTACTCTGAAAAAGGAGATGAAAGAGGTTATCAGAAAATGGAAAGATATCCTTTAGTCTTGAGTAGGTAGAACCAACATACTGAAAATGGCCATACTTTCAAAACTGTTATACAGATTTAATGCAGTTCTGATGAAAATTCCAATAGCATATCTCATACTACTAGAGAAAACAATCCTAAAATTCATTTGGAACCAGAAGAGACCTAGAATAGCAAAGGCAATTCCGGGCAACAAAGGCAAGGCAGGGGGCATCACACTTTCCTACTTGAAATTATATTATAAAGCTACTGTGATAAAATTAGCATGGTACTGGCAAAAAACAAACAAACAAACAAAAAAAAAACCGGACCTGAGGATCAATGGAACAGATCAGAAGATGCGGAAACAATCCAGACATACTTAACCACCTTATCTTTGACAAGGGTGCCAAACATATTCACTGGAAGAAAGATTCTTTAACAAATGGTGCAGAGAAAAACTGGCTTTGCATATGCCTAAGATTAAAATTGGGCCCATATCTTTTTTTTTTTCTGGTACCAGGAATCGAACTCATGATCTTGCACTTGCCAGGCAGGTGCTGTGCCGCTGAGCTAAATCCCCAGCCCCCTGGGCCCATATCTTTTACCATGCACTAAAGTTGAAATGGATCAAAGATCTAAATATTAAAACAGAAACATGAAATCTGGAAGATAGAATAAGTAAAACTCTTGAAGACACTGGTATAGGCAAAGACTATGAACAAAACCCTGATTTCACAGGAACTATCAGAAAGAATTAACAACTGGGATCTCATCTTATTAAAAGGCTTTCTCACAGCAAGAGAAATCACCAACCAAGTGAAGAGATAAACCAGTTGGAAAATGTTTGCCAGCTTTCCTCAAGCAAAGGATTACTATCAAGAACATATAAAGAACTTAAAAAAAAATCAAACCTCCCAAATTTAAAGATCCAGTCCAAAAGTGGGCTTCTCAGATGAAGAAGTACAAACAGCAAATAAATATATGAAAAATGTTCAATATCATTCAGAATATGCAAATTAAAACAACACTGAGATTTCATCTCACCCCAGAAACAGTGTTTATTATCAAGAAATGAACCAATAACAAATGCTGGAGGGGTTATTGAGGAAAAAGAACACTTCTCCACTGTTGGTGGGAGTGTAGATTGGTGCAGTTTTCCACACTGTGGAAATCAGTGTGGAGATTCCTCAAAAAACTAGGACTAGAGGTCCCGTTGGACTGAGCTATTCTCCTTCTGGGTATCTTCCCAAAAGAATTAAGGACATCATACCACAGCAATATATGCAGTCCACGTTTATAGTGGCACCGTTTCTGATAACCAGGTCTTGAAGACAGCCCAGATGCTCATCAACCAAGGAATGCATAAAGATGTGCTTTTTCATACAATGGATTATTACTCTGCCGTAAAGAAAGACAAGCTTGAGATATTCCTAGGTAAATGGATGCCCCTTGAGACTATACTGTTAAGTGAAATAACTCAGACCTACATGAGTAAATACCACACTGTTTCTCTGGTGTGAGAAACTAAGGTGTAAATAAGGACCACAATGTATATTAGGTATTGTGAAATGGAAAGAAAATGTTCAGATGTTCAAACAGGGAGGGGAATGGGGAGTGGGGGAAAGGGAAGAGTAAAAAAACAAGTAAGAAAAGAAAGAAAAAATGGAAACAAAGCTTTTGTAAATGGGAAGGTAGAGAAACGGGAAAAAAAGAAAGACTTTATATCATGCACAGGTACAAATTCTCTATGATGTGTGTGATCATTATGTGTATCTAAAATGGACCAATAAAACACGATGGAAGAAAAAAATCTCTGCAACTCTATCAAATGTTTATTATCTGCTGAGCAAACCGACAAGTGTAGGTTGGTGAGCACACCCAGACTTAAATGAAGTTCTATGTTTCTAGTGTTAATAATATGAGCTTCTTCGTCCTTTCATTTGGAGACCTACTGTCAAAACCTTCAGCTGCTTCTCACTGTAATCCTAGCTCCACCCATCCCGCCGCCTACTCACATTGTATTATTTAGAGAATAAGGGAGGATGTTCAAGTATGTTTTGAGTTTAAGTACTATGTAGTATTACTTTACAACTAATGCAAAATAAGCTTCCAAAAATAGATTGATGTGTGAATTTTTTACACTGTACTTAAGATGTCTGCAAATGTGTCATGCAGTCTCCTGTAGATAACTACCACTCAGTCCAGCCCTGTAGGATATGTGGCTTTAAAAATATTATTTATTTTTGGGTTAAAAGCACACTTGGTAAGTAGAATCAGTGTTGTAATAAGTCCCTAGCTGTATTAAGAAGTTATTTCTCCCACATCCGTTAGGATTACTACAACTTAATGAAAGAAAAAGAAAGGAAAGAAGGAAGAGAAGAAAGAAGGAAGCGAGTAAAATTAGCAAGCTTGGAGAAGATATGGAGCAATCTCAACACTTGTGCACTGTAAGTACTGCAGCTATTGTCAAAAACACTATCGCAGTTCTTCAAAAAAATTAGAGTGGGCATGGTGGTGAGTGCCTGTAATCCCAGCATTCAGAAGGCTGAGGCAGGAGGGTCACTGTTGGTTCCAGGGCAGCCTGAACTGATATAGCGAGACCCTGTATCAAACAAACAATCAAAAAATTAGCCAGAATAACCCTATGATTCAGCAACTTCGTTGCTGTATATGTACCCAAAACAGCTGAGAGCAAGTTTTGAAGAGAGAGTCATAACAGCATTGTTCACAGTAGCCAAAAGTTAGAAGAAACCCCATGTCTATCAGTGAATGAATGGATAAAGAAAATGTAGAGTAGGGCTAGGGATTTAGCTCAGCGGCAAAAGCACCTGGCAAGTGCAAGGGTGTGAGTTCGGTTCCTGGTACTGGAGAAAAACCAAAACAATAAAAAATAAAAAAAAAGAAAAGAAAAGAAAATGTAGAGTAACTAGGTGTGGTGGCGCACGCCTGCAATCCTAGCACTCAGGAGGCTGAGGCAGGAGGATCGTTGCAAGTTTAAGCCTGGGCTACAAAGTGAGCTCAAGGCCAGGCTGAACTGCACAGGGAAACCCTGTCTCAAAAAGACCAAAAAAAAAAAAAAAGAAAAGAAAAGAAAATGTAGTGTGTACACAAAACAGAATCCTATTTAACCTTAAAAAAGGATTTTCTGATACATGCTGTAACAGGGATTGACCATGAGGACATTATATTATGTGAAATAAACCAGTCACACACGAAAATAGTTTTTTCAGGAATCTAGAGAACAGAAAGAGTGGTGGCTGCCCGAGACTGGAGGGATGAGATATTCAGTAGGTAGAAGTCTCTGTTTTGCAAAATAAAGATGTTCTGGAGATCATTACTGTTAAGTACACTTGCCCTGCTGTACAATCAAAGTATACACTTAAAAGGGGAAATAGTAAATTTCATGTTGTGTATTTTACCGCAATAAGACCAATCATACAACTATCATCTGACATCTGTACAAAAGATGAAGCAGACAGAAAAAGAAATGCCCAAGGTCTTCCTGCGACACAGGCAACAGTGCCGTCCCCTGAGGAAACATGGAACCGAGGTTCCGAAAAGAAAACACAGCTTGGTCTTGGGATTAAGCCAGTAAAAGAAGCAAGAAAAAATATTAAAAACACAATGAGTTTCTACCCATGCAATAGGATTTAGGAATCCCGGGGTCGTCTGCAAACTTTGTAGTACAGAATACTTCAGCAAAGGTCTGGGCTGACTTCACTCAGGGAACAGACGTCTGGTTGTTACTGTTTCCTGGTGTTTGATTGACTTTTGATGCTCTCATTTTATTTTCCCAGGATGGTTTGTTTTTATGGTTTTTTTTTGTTTGTTTGTTTTGTTTTTTGGTGTTTTTTGTTTGTTTGTTTGTTTGTTTGTTTGTTTTTGTACCAGAAACTGAACTCAGGACCTTGCGCTTGCCAGGCAGGCGCTTATGCCACTGAGCTATATCCCCGGCCCTGTTTGGTTTTTTAGTGCTTTTTTCGAGAGGTTCTTAGTCAATGCTGCCTGAACGTTCAAATAAATATCTGTCTGCTGAGTTTCCTTTGGGTTTTTTTTTTTTGTTTTTTTTTTTTTAATCTTTGAGAGACCCTTTCTCCATGCTGCAAGTGGCTAATCTGGTAAACTCCTCACGGTCAGGCCCCTGCTGGTTATCCAAGCAGCTCAGAGTTCCTCAGCCGTTCCTGTTCCCGGAGAGGAGCTGTAGGAACCACACTGCTCCGCATGTGCCTTTATCCCGAGGTCTGCAGTCGGAGGCCACACGTCCCTGTCTCAGAATCAGCTGCAATTATTCAGAGATAAGACTGTGTTTTTCTGTGTTTTGGCCCCATTTGCACTTCTTACAGAACCATATCCGGTTCAACACCAAACAGCTGGACTTGGCAATCAATCTGCGGATTTTGACTTTAGATACTTCTACCTCACTGCATCTTACGTTTAAGGGTCTCCTTGTGGGGAAAACAGAAGCCACAAAATGCTTCCGATGTACCTTTTGTAAATACAGTATACCAAAAACTTCAGGTAGCTTTTTAGTCTCCCTTTCACAGGCGCGATGTTGCATCCCAGTAATCTCAGCACTCTGGGAGGCCGAGGCAGGAAGATCAGGAGTTTGAGGGCAGCCTGGGCTGCGTAGTAAGACGTTGTATGGAAAAATAAACAAATCCAAAACGATCTAGTTTTCCTCCCCACGACAGTTTCTGCTGTCTCACCGCTGCCTGGTAAAACCATTGCGCAGGCTCCAGGCGGTCTGGCAGGACCTTCGAGCCCACCCGGTCGCGGAAGCAGACAGGGCAGACTGCGCTCCACAGTGGGGCCGCGGGCGGAGGCCTCCTCCTCGGGGTGCACAGACGGGCGGGCGGGCTCAGCCCAGGTCCCTGCAGTCTGGCCCCGACCTTCACCTGGGGACGGCGAGGTGAGCGGTGGACCACGCCCCCGCCCAGGGGCCGCCGCACTCAGCCCGCGACGACAGCGCCGAAGCCTCGGCGAGGGGTCGCAGGGGAAGGCGCGGCGCCGGACGGACACGGCCGGCCGGGGTCACGAGAGCGCGTGGGCGAAGGTGCGGGAGTTCGGAAATCGAGAAGCTCGGGAGGCCTCGTGGGCTGTAACATCGCGCGACCCACGTCCCCAGGAGCCTACGCGACCACCGCGACAGTGGACGCCGAGCCGGAGCCCCCGCCCCGCCCAGCGACCGCGTGGGTGAGAACGAAAGGGGGCGGGGCCGGTGGGGTGGGCGGGGCGCGCGCGGCGGGAGGCTCCGACCGAGGTGGGCGGGAATGCAGGAGAGGGGCGGGGTTCAGCCACGTTGGGCGGGGGTGAGGCTAACGGGGCGTGTCCTGTGGGCGGGGAGAGGCCGACTGGGCGTGTCCTGTGGGCGG